TCATTTGCCAGCTCCAAATTAATTGTTCTTTGGAGGAGAAGGGGCCCGGTGGTCTGGCATTGCACAAAACTCAGCACTTTCCAAGCACTGGATGATCCTCACAAAACTCCCCCTGAAACTGATGTCGAGGTTTCCATAAAAAAGAAACTGAGGCACAGAAGTTACATAACTAGTCCAAAAATTTAGGCATCAACATAAGCATTTTTGGATTTGCAGAGAGATGTTCCTGGTTTCCCTTCTGAGCTCAAACACCGTCACCTCCCCCTAACAAAATCAGTGCCATGAAAAGGCATGGGAGTAAAGACAGCGGCACAGCTCAAGGAAAAGCAAAGCACAGGCCTCCAGATGCCAGGCACAAGTCTAGCTAAATGCTTTCCACAGAGGAAAATAAAAATAAAGAGGATTTAAACTCCCGATCTATGAACTAATGCAAACATATGTACATGCAAAATGGGCCTCTGCTGCTGCTTATCTAGAGACACTGTAGACAGCTCAGGTTTACCACTGCTGACAGGCAATGAAAACAGTCTAATATACCGTCTGCTCTCACCCTTAAATCCCTTTTTGGAGATCAAGATAAATATGCAGTTCCTTTTCCCGAGTGCTCCAGACATTTCAGTGGAGTGGCAGAGCATTGTGAGGGGCTGTGCAAACGAAATCCCTCTGTAATACTGAGCGAGCGTAGCATTTACTTGTCAGCGTTCGTCAGCAGAGGCCACGCGGTCCCAAGCCGCATTTAAAAGTTGTGCCGATGAGCGCCCGCTGCCTTCATTTGTATGACATAGATGTCCACACGCGTGCACTTGCACCCGCGCTGAGCACAGCGGGAGGGAGAGGGAATACGGGCACACGCAAGCCCTAAATCAGACCCTGGCTTAGCCACAGCCCAAAGGCAAAGCAAGCCATTCCCCTCCCCGGTGCAGAAGCCGGGCAGCCAAGGGGTTAAAGAGGCCGTCTGCCAGGGATACTGCTAGGCTGGGTGCTGGTCCCCTAACCTGCTTCTGCACGTGTGCTTTTCTGTCTTCTCCGGAACGACCAGAGCCCCTGCCAAGTCGTTCCGCACATACAGCTGCAGACTGAATTGGGTGCCAGAGGTTAAAAGGCACTGAAGGGCTAGCCAGCTCATAGACAATGATCATTGGGCCTGAGAAAAAAATGAACGCAATAGCTCATCCATTCAGCTCTGCTAACCACCTCATCTCTGACCTCGGAGGACTACATTTTTAAAGGCTGACAAGTAATTCAATCTCCAATTAACAATCTTAAATGGTGCAATGCATATTGCTGTAAAAATGTTTCTGCAAGAAAATATCCAAGGGTGAAAGAGAATACATCTGGTGGAGAAGTCCAGAACCGATGCTTCTGCAATTAAAGGATTTAGATGGACCTCAATGAGACACATGGTCAGCAGAGGCATGAGCAGGTTTAGAAATGTTGCCAAATCAAGTTAAACAAGAGATGCTAGAAATAAATGGGAGAAAAGACCATACGGGATGAAAGCCTGTATCTGACACAATCAGGATCTGCCCAAGGGGTAAACTTCAAACCCTGAGTTTGGGTGCAGCAGGAAGGCACACATGAAGTAGGAGGTTAAGAAGTAAAAGTAGCTTTAGCCTGAGGCTTACAGTGGGTTTAACGACCAGACACAGTGCTGGAAGGGTTAAATATGCAAAGCAGGCCCTTCCTAGCAGGAAGGTTACTAGCGCTCAAGGGAACAGTCAAAGATGCAGCTACCAGAGCCACAGACCGGAGATCAAGAAAGGTCCATCAAGAGGGCGGGAAAGCCCAGGTTCCAGGATTCTGAGGCCGAGATACACAATACGCATATACCTGAATATTGGCAATATCTGGTGATCAATCTGGTGGCAAAAGCAGACAAAAAAGAGCAGCCGTGAACAGCAATGCACCAGGCAGTAAGCTTCTGGCACCAGAAAATCTGCTTTAAATTAAATTCTTTCCAACCCATGAAAGCTCTGAAAGCCCAGAACCAGGTTTCTGTGCGCCTGGACTGACATGCTGCCAGCCAAAGGAAGCTGCTGTGGGTGACAGGCCCCACAGCGAGATCCCAAGCTTGCCCTTCCTGCAGTTTCCAGCGAGGACCACTGACTTCTGTTCCTACTGCCCTCCTGTAGGCTATCCCAGCGCCCTCGCTTTCTAGACAGAATGTCCCTCTCCCAGGTCAGCAGCTGCCAGCGTGACGTTTCTGCGCCCCTGCCCTGGAAGGTGTCGGCAAACAGGTCTGCTACCAGCAGCCCTCAGCAGGCTTCTCCCTAAGCCAGGCAGCAGGCCTGCCCCCACCTACTCCTTGCGCATTTGATGCCAAACAGCCTCCCAGTCGCTAGGGACCCGGGTCAGATTGGGATAAACCACTCAGCCACCCCTTCCTCTGCTCCTGAAGGTAAAGCTGTCAAGCATGCAGAAAGCAGTGCATTTAACAGGGTACACAGGACAAAATGCTTCCCTTGTGCCCTCACCTCAACTGCGGGATGAGGACATCAGAGAAGTGGTCAAAAGGAAATGCAAAATCTAGAACTGCATGTGTTGCAGCTCAGCCCACGATTGCAGGAGCACACACTATTTTCCAGACAATGCAACCTTTGATAGCCCATGCTTACAGAACGCACGGGCAGTATTGTCCACGCTCAGGTAATTTTGACCTCCAAATCCACTCTCCCTACTGCAATGGAAAAGCACGTTTCTTGTTGTTCAGAGGATCTTTTGGCCGTTACAAAGGAGAGCCAGGATTCTAGCAGCCTTTTCAGCCTTTCAGCCTTCAGACCATCCTCAACAGGTTTATAGGCATGTCATATGCATATTAATCATTTTCTAGCACTCAACCCCATGATGACCAGCTGCTTCCTCTGTGCTCCTTTTCAGAAAGTGAGCTGCGAGGTGGTTGAGACACTCACGGCAAAGCTGGTTTGGCTACAAACTTGATTGGCTCCTGTGTTTCATCAAAGAGGAAAGATCTGAAAAAATGACAGCAGAGGGCTTGAATGGGAATCATTATGTAACATAAGTGCTGTTATTATTCAGAGCATATCATGTGTTTATATCAAATATAAGTGCCAGATTTTTATCCGAATAATTTCAATAATTGCAATTCCCATCCCACAATTTATATTATCTGCCAGAAACCTGAAGCAGAAAAGGCACACACACATACTATAAATAGCCTATTTTTCATAAACAGGCAGAAATTATCAGAATGAATGTCTCATCAGAAAACACAATGTAGGAACTTAAAACCTGACTGCTATTATGTGCAGTCAAGCCTCAACAGATCTTAGAGTGTTCATTTCTATCACTCAGCTCTTCCCCCCCACATATCATGTCATTAGAGGGTAAAATAGCAGGAAGGCTGAGGACCCAAGCTGAGGTAGGATGCCAGCAAGAGCCATGCTCCTGAGCCTTCAGCCTATTGGCACGGCGGCGGGAGCGCAGCCATCTCCTCTCTGCCTGGAGACGGACTGCACTTCTTGCATTCCTAATCTATGAATGTGTGCAGTTCCTGCACTTTTAATTTACGAGCATTCGGTGGGGGACCCTTCTGACTTGGGAACATATTGGCTCGGTCTAATGCTTGGAGATTATTAAAGTCAGAGCTATACTCCACTATCAAGTCTACAGATCTTTTATTTAGAAGATATGGTGCTCTAAATGCACAAAGAGCTCCCTGTCACCTTCACATTAAAGCCCCTAGTGCCTGGTAAATGGAATTATATAGCTGTCATCTCCTTTCCCCAAAGTTTTAAGAGTACAATGGGCTCATTTTTTCAC